GAAATAACCATCTTCCATTTGCAGGTACCCCTTGTTTCTTATTCTTGCTAGACCGGACACCAACCAGCCACCACCATGGACGCGATCAAGAAGAAGATGCAAGCGATGAAGCTTGAGAAGGACAATGCGGCCGATAAAGCCGATGCCATGGAAGGGCAGGCGAAGGATGCCAATTCCCGCGTGGACAAACTCAATGAAGAAGTAATTAGTCCAGCGCCAGCTGCACAACTGCTGACTGTCTAACCGTTTTTTCTAGCTGCGCGATCTTCAGAAGAAACTGTCGCAGGTCGAGCAGGACTTGGTCAGCACCAAGAACCACCTGGACCAAGCCAACAAGGATTTGGAAGAAAAGGACAAGGCTCTGGTCGCTGTAAGTTCGGGTGGGTTTCAACCTGGAAAGGCCAAACTCCATGGGTTTTTTTAGGCTGAATCTGACGTCGCTGCCCAGAACAGGAAGCTGCAGCTGATTGAGGAGGATCTTGAGCGCTCTGAAGAACGTCTCGCCACTGCCACCACCAAACTGGCTGAAGCTTCACAGGCCGCTGATGAAAGCTCACGGTAAAAATGCCCGAATTTCACCCCTTTGAGTTGATTCATCGGCAATTCTTCCAGTATGTGCAAGGTGTTGGAGAACCGCTCCCAACAAGATGAGGAGCGCATGGACCAGCTGACCAACCAATTGAAAGAGGCCCGTCTCTTGGCTGAGGATGCCGACAACAAATCCGACGAAGTTTCCCGTAAGCTGGCCTTCGTTGAAGACGAGCTTGAAGTAGCTGAAGATCGTGTTAAAGGTCAGTATTCCGCAAAAAAGCCCCCAAGAAAACAGCTATTTCAAGATGAACAATTCAGGTGGTGATGCCAAGATCATGGAACTGGAAGAAGAACTGAAGGTCGTCGGCAATTCTCTGAAATCTTTGGAAGTGTCCGAGGAAAAGGCCAATCAAAGAGTGGAAGAATTCAAGAAACAACTGAAATCCTTGACTGTCAAGCTAAAGGAAGCCGAAGCTCGTGCGGAGTTCGCCGAAAAGACTGTGAAGAAGTTGCAGAAGGAGGTTGACAGGCTTGAAGGTACACCAACTGTTTATAGCTGGACTCGTGCCTCCATTTGGCTGCTTGGCTTTGCGCTTTGCATTATTCTCAAGCTTTTTTCAGATTTTGTGTTCAAGGAAAAGAACAAGTATATGGGCATCGTGACCGACATAGACAAAACGTTTGTCGAAATGTCCGCTTTGGGGCAAAAGAAGTAGTCTTGATTCCAATTTTCACTACCTCATCAACACCATCAGGGCTTCTTAGGCTGCTCGCCTCAGAATCCCTGCATTCATTAATCATTCAATTACTGTAAATACGTCTTAACTAAGCCATTCACACACAACACATCCTAACTTTCTGATTTACTCGAGTAGATATAGAGCATTGCTTCTGGCTGTTGTGCTTCTTTCTAATTGCTTTTGGTAAGTAAATTTAGCAGCTGTTTCACGCATGTTTGATGGCCAGGAACGTGACCGTCTTAACCGAACGTTTGTGTGTAATTTTGAGACAAATGTTTTTGCGGGATAAAAATCAAGCATCTTTCGAGTGATTTTTCCTGACGAAGATGTTTTGAATCTCACCTTGTCTGCGTCGCAATTCACCTTTTCTGTCCCCTCTGTCTCGTCGCTATTTTTCAATGGTTTTGAGTCTGCAATGAAATAAAGCGTTTTTATCTATCAAGTTGGTGAAATATCGCGCCCCGATACAACATTGTTTAAATAATTCTCTGTTTCTAGATGAATTGGGTATCAACAAGGACAGATACAAGTCCCTCGCCGACGAGATGGACTCCACTTTCGCCGAATTGGCCGGTTACTAGAGCGCATCACTCAATTTTCCTATTTTAATATCGTTAAAGAAAAATTGTGTATATTGTATTTTTGATGTAAACTTACTATTACTTTGTTCTAATGCACCATCACTACTATTTATACGTTTAAGATCCTGTGTAATAAAACCGTTTCGGAAATGTAAATGTTTTAGTTTCGAGTAAGTGCAAAATTAGATCGATTGCCGACTCATAGCGTACATGGTCAGTGGTTTGTTGTGTCTTGTTTATTTCATTAAAATAAAAGCATTCATGTGTGTTTGTTTTTCATGTTTTTGTAATCAATCGGTGATTGTTGGTTTGATTCTAATATGAAACCTTACCTAAACAATTAGATTTTGGTTTAAAAAACTATTTGTTACAAGAACTTACTTCTACAGCGCGGAAACTTTCTAAACTCTTTTCATAATTCGAACTGCATAACTATGGTCTTTAAATCGCACACTTATATCCGCAGTGATTGGTTTATCCTGCAAGCTCCCAACCGCTTCCACGCTGTATTTTCGCAGGATTGTAACCAGCAGTGTCTTCATTATCATGTAAGCATAGGGTTTGCCTGCGGAATGAGAAAAAACATCAGCACTTTGCGTTCAAAGCACGCTTTGAAGAAAATGCTCATACCAATACAGCCCCGGGCTCCAGCGCTGAACGGCAGGTAGGCATAAGGATGCCGTTTCTTCACGGCTTCCGGCAAAAAGTGCTCCGGGTAGAAGTCGTTTGGTTTTGCCCAGAATCTCGGATCTCTGTGAATGTTTTGGATGGAAACCACCAATGAAGTTCCGGCAGGGATATTGAATCCATCTAAAACCGCAAAAAATCATATATTTACTGTAGATTAGCGTGACTTGACTTCTACCTATTTCGATGTTCTGGCTAACTTTGCGCAACAAAAGGGGGGCGATCGGGAACAGACGCAAAGTCTCCTTGAGAACCATCTGCAACTCGTCCAATCGCTGCAAGTGTTCTTCGCGCAGTTCTTCGCACCCAATCACACTATGCATTTCTTCAACTACCCGCTTTTGGTATTCCGGGTACATTCCCATCATCACTAGAGCGAAAGAGCAAATCGAGGTCGCTGTATCTTCACTCTGGATCAACGCAAATTCCATTATACTGGCTGAGATAAAATCGAAGCCAAAAAGTCGACTTACTGCCGAATAAAAGGTGGTCATATGATGAATCAGTTCTTCGTCGGTGGAAAAGTCCGGCACTTCGTCCCTGATGTCCAGCATTTGCTCCAAGATTGTGCGGCAGGCGATTTCCTTTGGGCCCAAATGCGAATGGCTCTTTTTCACTTGGCGCAAAACCTGAAAAAAAATGTTTTTTAAAGAACACCCTGAAGTGGCTTGGCAGCAACGCATTTCAACTTTGCGTGAAGAAATTGCACTTTTTAAAGCTACAAAGGACTGAACTGAGAAATGTGACCGGCAGCTAAAAGAGAGCGAATATCGAGACACTCTTGTAAGCAAGAGACAATTAGAATACCTTCCGAAAAAATCCATGAATTACTTGTCGAGTTCGAGTAAGCTCTTTGTATTTGGGAGTTAATCTGAAGAGAAACTCCACTTGCAACCATGGTTTGACCATTCTCTCATGCACCAGCTGGTATCCTCTAGAACCAACAGTTTAAGGAAAAATCAAGGGATTTAAAACCGGTAAATGATCCATACCTGCCGATGCAGCTGAGAAAGTCGTCCAGTTCTCCACATTGCGCATTTGTTTGAACACCAATGATTGTTTCTAAAATAAAAAATCTATTCCGAAAACTGCGAGTAAAAAGCAGAAAACTTACCATTTACAATGTCGGCAACGGCTCGATGAAGATAATGTTGAATATCGAAAGCGGGCCGATCGGCTTCTTGTTCCAAAATCCCCGCTAAAATTTGCGCGTGATTCAACATCACTCCAAAGTACTGGACGATGTTTCTTTTGAGAAAAAGTGGCGAAAGCAGTCGCTTGTCCTTCTTCCATTTGGCTCCTAAAACGGCCTTTTCTATATTCAGCATTCTCTCGAAACAACTTTTCTTACCTGAACCGGAGATCAGTCCTTCGCCATCAAAGTATTTGATAAATTTGTAAATATCGTCTTTGGCGGTCAGTGCAGAAGTTGAGAATATTTTCTGAAAAAAAGTGAATAAATCCAAAAAAAATATTAAAATATCTGTTAAATACCTCAACTTGGACGGGTTCTCTGAAAATAATGAAAAGATGCTGAAAAATGTCGAATCGCATCGGGCTCGGATACTTGCTGAAGCATTCCACCAGATTTTCGAAAATATCTACAAATTAAATTTGTTTAATTAAACTTTAAATACATCAAGGAATTTTAATTTTAATTTACCTTCGTCCTTGCACCAAACGGTCAAGGCATTCCCCAACAGTGGAAGCCTTTTCGGGCCCTGAAGACCCTCCGCAGCACATTTTCTACTTTTCCTCCACAGATATTTTGCAAGAAACAAAGCCAGAATACAGAAGACTTCCGCGCAATAATACGCAAAGTTCATCTGGAAAAGAAACAGAATTTGAATGTAAAATGAAGCCAAGTTTCTGTAATATTAAGGAAAAAGAAATGTGTTTTACTCGTCATTATTAGCACAATACCTGAAGAAACTGAAGCACTTGCAGAAACAACATTATTTGCAAAATGCGCTTGATTATACGAGCTTTCACATGTCTTTATATGTGTCCCGTAAATAGGGTTTTCAACGGAACGCGTTTCGCAAGGCTTGCTAAACCATTACATGTCGCGTATAAAATTTTATGCAATCAAATGTACATCTGGATGGTACCTACTGTTTAATCTGCTCCCAAACTTGCAATTACACAGCACTTTTAACTGCACTTCACCATCAGAAAAATCGACATAAATTGCTCAGGATGGTTCTACAATTGAACTATGACCAAGCAAAGGACAGCGTTACAATAATTTTTTTTTTTTCATTTAATAGTCGCCTAATGGAAAACGTACGTGAATCTTGCTAATGAGACTAGTATGATGCCGGCAAACCAGGTCGATTGTTAATATAAATTTATTAATTGGTAAAATAATGCGAGTTGGATTCATCAGCTGTAACGCATCAGATTAGATTCTTTAATGACAAAAAATTATTTTTGAGTGTTCTCATTTCCTGCTCAGTCTGGATTACTATAAGCGCATTCGCCAAAATGTCTGCACCTTAACTTGCTTAATACTCATTGTAGCAGCTTTTTCCACATGTCCCAAATACCTTTTTGGCAAACTCGATATCCAATAGATCTTAAGCTCGACAAAATCAGAAGTCTAAGTAGGAGCTGATTCCAGCTATGGAAAGGAATTATTAATAGATGTTTTAAAATGTTCTGCACACTGGGTACTACTCGCATTCGCCAAAATGTCCGCAACTCACCATGGAAACTGATAATCAAAAACAAAACTGTGCAAAAATTATATTTTATTTTAAATAGCTACTTCTAAAAGTAACAACAAGCTAATATCCTTGACACAACAGACTCTTTAATCAACTTAGTAACACAAGCCTCAAAACGCAGTCTTTTTCGCTAAAGCATGGCTGCACTTTTAGGTAATCTCTGAAATTATGGCAATATAACGCAGAATCAAAACTAATATAATTATTTTGCGAGTGACGTTATTTAGCATGATTTAGAGACTTGCAATGTGGCTCCATAGGGGTATCATATCCAATGCATCCCGATAATAAATAAGAGCATCGAGCTGAAACTTCAAACTGAGATGATTTATACATTTATACTAATAGCTGTAATTGTGAAGTTTAATAAAGCGCAAGTAATAAAGGACAGGGGGTATATAAGCGACAATCAACCCATGTAGTGCAGCCAAAGAAACAATCATGCATTAGAAAGTTTTTATAAAAATATCACAGACTCTGATGAGATCTGTAGTATGATAGCGGAAAATATAAAAAGCGAAAATCTAAACTAAGGTCTGGGGAGAGGATTACGAAAAATCATGCACTTTTGCAAAAATATCACAGATACGGGAGAGAGAGCCCTCGTAAACGTTTAATATAATAACTAAAAACTAGTAGGAAGTATGCTTATGGACAGCCAAGCCAAGTGATTGAACAAACGGTCTCAGGGCAACACACCATTATTTGTAATAATATAAATATACCAAACCTGCGTAAAGAATGAAGTGAAGCAGGTATAGGGGAGGACAAACTGTTTTTCAAGTGCCTCCGAAATATCTTTTCATCTCTTCACTCAATAAACAAAAGCCATCATTTTACAACTTCCAACAAATAAACTGGGCTTCTTCAAGTCCTAAAAATGAAAAGATCACACAAGTACGGCATGAACTAAACAAATTTTGCCTACTGATTCTAACTTTACCAGAAGCCATAAGAATCAGCTATGCTCTAGACCTTCAGTCATTAAAATTAAAATGAAATACCGTGATTAAAATGCATAGTTTTACAACTACTGTACTGGATTGATACAGACATGTTTACCCCTAGGAACAGTTCATGTGGTTTGTTGAGTATGCAATGCACTATCACTGCATGAAGGGCAAAATTCCAATGATACTTTATTTTTCGACACATGCAGACATACTCCCACATCCTCCTCTTCTTGCAAGTTTATTGTGAGATCGGCGCTCGTACCAGAGCTAGAGCTTTTTTCCGGAACCTCTAAAAGATCTTCTTGGATTATATCATCGAAGAAGACATCCATGTTTGAAGGAACATCGATATCCAATAGAAGACTTTTCTTCAGCTCGTCGATATCAGAATTGTCGTAATAAGAGCTGGTTGATTCGGGAGTTGGAAAGTTTATATTATTTTGTGAAAGTTTTTCAGTCTCATCCCATGGATGCCTTGTGAAATCGTAGCCGACACAAGCAGTCTCGGGCCTTATTTCCTGTGGCAATTCTCCGTTTGGAACGATTTTCTGCGCGATGGGGCTCTTGTTTACTGCGTCCCGACTGCTCGGACTTGCTCGCCTGTCGATCGAAGATTTGATGGGGATTCCTGTGCTGAAGTTGATGGCTCGAATCAACTTTCCAATGTGCTCACTATTGCTCAGAACGCTTTTCAAGTACTTCACTTCATTTTTCAGTTCCTTAACGAGAACCGATTGGTTTTGATGTAGCTGGGTCATCTTTTTGTTGTCGGCACTCAGCGAAGCAACTTGGCTCTCAAGCGTTGTGATGTACATCTTCTTCTTGAGCCGATTCTCTCTGGCCATGAGAGCGTTTTTCGAGAAGCATTTTGGGGTTCTTGTGGGCTTCCTTGGCAATTTGTTTTGCTGAAATCAAAACACGTTAGCCATATTGCTCAACTGACCATCAATCTATCATTTAATACCCGACTGTTTGGCGCATATTCCATGTCCCCCGTTTCTTCGTCTGTTGTGCTTTCAGACACGTAGCATGAATGATTGGAAACCATCTTTTTACAGTTTTTCATTCACTTCACACTGTGCAGTTTGCTAACTAACCGCAATAAGTGACACTGAATGCTCACAAAAACTATACTTTCTCACTGTTTACTAACAATTGCAGTACTTCTATTAACACTTTTTGCACTCTGCTACAATGTAACTGTGGCGATGTATAAAATAACTGATGCAGCATTCCTCGATTCAGGCCTTTTATAAGCTGCGTTCGAAATTCCAGAAGGAGAGCGAATTATCGACCGCTTGATCTTCTAAATGTAAAGGAATGGAAGCCGATGGTCGATAGTGGAAAGTTATCGAATATTCTCGAAGAGTTACATTAAGGCTTTTGAGTTTGTAAAGAATCAACTTTGATCTGATGAATGTGGCATTCTACTGACAGCAATCGAGAAATTTCAGTGACACTGTTAGGTTAGGTAGTTTTTTTGTACGCTATGACTGTGATTTTCAGTTCCACTTGTATGGCTTGCATAGCAGTTAATTAGATCAGCATTACTCGGCTTTATCTATGAGCGTTACTCAAAGTGTGCTCCGCAAAGCCTCCGGCCAACGCCAAAGCTTCCTTAACCCAAAAAAACCTTTTTTAAATTAAATCCCAAAAAACCTTTTTTTCGTATCATTGTTAATAAACATTACACATAAAACCCGTTTTGCTTTCAGTTCAGTTAGGGTTTAGGGCTTCGTTAAAAATTCATTTTTTCCAAAAAGTTCCGTCTCCAAAAACGTTTGAGAACCGCTGAATTAGATGATTCAAATGAAATGCCAGAAGGATACGTCAGATGTGACAGCTTAAAACGTAATTTTTTCCCAGAAGGAACAAGGAAATAGAACCAATATTAATTAGTCAATTGGTTTAGTTCGTATTAGCCAATTTTAATTAACCATGCTTGTTTGGAAAAATGATTATTTTTTGGCACAGCTAATACATTCTGGTAACGGAAGCATTATGCCATGCTTACCTAACTACTGGGATGATTAATAATTACCTGGAAGTGGAAACAGGTCGAATAGAAGCAGCTTATCAGTAAAATGAGGGGTTTTTCTGCTACTGCCACATTCCGTACTTTGAACTTTGCCAATCATGATAATTCGTTGTCAAAACTGTCGTTTGCTTGTCAGATCGCGCATTTTGGCAACGTGTTGCGTCATAAAAACCGCTGATTCTGAAGCTTACCAATGCGTTTATTGAATATTTAATTAAACGATTTTATAATTTCGTTATTTAACTTTTTCTTACTGGATGTTTTTGGTTTACAGAGTTTATTGCTTCAGTTTTTTTGTTGAGTTTTTCTCTATACTTTTGCTTTTGTTTGGTTATTCGGACCACAAGATGATTCAATTTTGAACTTCGCTCTCACAGCCTCGAATAAATCTTCACTTATATCGATACCGAGACATTTCTACTGGAAAACTCCCGCGGTTGGGACACAAATGATACAAAACAACTATGACCGGGCCATTTGAATATAATTACATGAGCTGAATCAATTGAGTTGGGTGATTAAACTAATTAATTTTATTAGTGCCCTTCAGATTTGTTTACACGGAAACTTTAGAGTCCTAAATGCATGTCATCAACTATATAGAACCCTTTGTTTCATATTAATCCCCTAATAGATTCATTTACATCTAATAAACAGGTAAACAGACCATTTTAGCCAATTTAAGTCATTTAGAACTGCCACGATTGTTAATAGTTGCAGTGTCTAAATAAATTGTCTTTTTTAAACAGTTCTGGCTTGTCATTTAACTATGTATATCGCAATTATGTTGTCAAAAATTACCAAATATTCTGTAACACTTATCAATTTGCCGATTTGTTCCTTGTTTACCGTCTAGCCAAAATATTCTTGAAGCAGACTGATAAAAATATTAAACAAGGCACTTTCCAAGTGAATCAGGCTGTAAACAGGTGATCAACCTATAAATACATTGTTGTTTGATCTTGTAACCGAATGGGAGCTTTGTACTGGAAAATTTATCCTTTCAGACTCAATATTATGTCACCAGCAAAACATGTTTTGCCACATACCATTGAGCCGTTTATCTACTTAAACTAATATTTTGTAACTAAAAATACGTTTATTTCCACTCCGGGCATTGCGATGCATAAATAGATTTCTCTTTTATCATTAGTTTAAAAATATATTTGTAGCAAGCAACTTCGAAGACTCCTGTCCATTTCCAAGCCTCACTTTGGTCCCTTGGTTTTATCCCTCACTATTTTTCCGTAAATATCTAATATGCCCTCTTTTCGCCTCTTCCTGTCGAAACTTTTGCCCTTCGCTGTTGACTTACCCACAACATTTTTGCCCAACTGTTGGAATTTCTGTTCGGACTCCTGCTTCTGCTTCTCAAGCTTTCGCTCCGCCATCAATTGTTTGTAGTTTTTGTACTTATTTTTGGGCGGTTTTGCTCCTGAGAAAAACACATTTATAAGATTTAAAAAGCATCTCGACTACAATGGAAAAAATGGATAATTATACCCAACCAAGAGATCAATGGAAAAGTGTGTCAAAAGAACACATGGAGAACAAGAGTTGGAATCATGGAAATTACCTAAACTTATGAGCTGTCGAATTTTGGCTTCCTCCTTCTTCTCGGGATCAAAGCCGGACATCCCGAACTTCATAATTTCGTATTTGGCCTTCCGCATATTGAATTCAGTCTCCTTATCGCTGCTTTTCTTGGTAGGCTCATTTGGCTGCTCTGCCTTTGGCTTTTTCTTCGATTTATAGGCGACAAAAGAGACCTCTTCGTATTCGCTCTCAGGGGCTCCTTTCAGCAGCGAAGCCCTAGTGGGGACAAAATCTATAGACATGTTTTAAAGCCGCCTTAACATCAATCAGGTTAAAAAAAATAGGTTAGAACAGATTGTTGATTTCAAATCCATGCGGGAAGAAGCAATATGACCAACATGAGCTAAGAAAATTTACTAATTTATCCGTCAAAAATGTCTTTGTCAACTTCAGTTTGGCGTTTAATGGCGGTTCTCAATGTGTTGCTAATTGGAATTTGAGATCTTTTTTGCAACAATTTGCCTAATTTTGCCGAAAAGTCTGCTGCAATGCCACCTTTGGAGGTGAATACAACTGTAGAAGACACGGCCCCCTCAAATCCGGTTGTGGGCATTATCTACCCTCCGCCTGAGGTTAGAAGTATCCTTTCCGCTTGAACTAATTTTTTTAAATGCTTACCCCCTTAGGACTTGCCCATCAAACTATAAAGCCTTTGGACAAGTGAATATGGGTGCATTTCGAAAACGCAAGTGTCCCAGTCAAACCGAAACCGTCTCACTTTGGTAACATGTATGTGGTTGCTCCATTGGGTTAGTTTTAAGAATGGAATTTCCTTAATAGTTAAAAGATATTGTCGATAAGACCGCCAGTTTCGTAGCGAGAAATGGCCCAGAATTTGAAGCCCGAATTCGTCAGAATGAATTGGGAAATCCCAAGTTCAACTTCTTGAACACTGGCGACCCATATCATGCCTACTATCAGCATAAAGTCAATGAATTCAGGGAGGGAAAAGGTAAACTGCACTTTCAATCAACGCTTTAAACACCGAGATTAAGTTTAGATGTTTTCTAGCCCAAGAACCCATTCTGTCCCAAGGCATTTCGAAGCTAACAGTATCAGCCAGTCAACAACAGAAACAGCATGAGATTCTCAAGCAAGTCGAGCAGCCGTTTGTGCCCAAAGAACCTCCACTAGATTTTGAATTTGTAGCGGATCCCCCGTCTATATCTGCTCTGGATTTGTAAGTTGCACTAGCTTTAAATCCAACTGCATTAATTAAGATGAAAACTTACAACCAATGCGCTTTCAGAGACATCGTAAAACTAACCGCACAGTTTGTTGCGAGAAATGGCAGAGCCTTTCTAACGCAATTGATGAACAGGGAGCAAAGAAACTTCCAGTTCGACTTTCTAAGACCGCAGCACTCCTTGTTTCAGTACTTCACCAAGTTGCTGGAACAATACACTAAGGTGCTGCTCAGGTTACAATAACTTGCAGTTTTAGTGCGAAATGTACTTTTTTAGGTGTTAATCCCGCCGAAGACTATGCAACAAAAGCTAAGAGATGAAGTGAAAAGTTCCCAAACTGTTCTGGAACAGGTCAAATACAGAGCTGAATACCAGAAGTACCAAGAGGCCCAAAAAGCGAGGGAGGAGGAAATTTTGGAAAGGGAACGAGGTTTGTTGGAATTTAAATCGTTGAGCAAACGACGTTAATTTAATTTTTTCAGTTGCATATGCCCAGATCGATTGGCATGACTTTGTCGTGGTGGAAACGGTCGATTATCAATCCTTCGAAATCGGGAACTTTCCACCACCTACTACTCCTGAAGAAGTCGGAGCCAGGATATTGATCCAGGAAAGAATGGAAGAGGGAGAAGACATCGAAATGCAACTGGAGAGCGACGATGAAGAAGGAGGAACTGAGGTTTGAGCTTAGACGACAGTAAAGACAAAGCTAAAACCAGTCTATTTTAGGATTCCGGCCTTAGTCAGATGGAAGACCGCACCAGCACTTCGAACAGAAAGGACGCTAAGGATAACAATCAAGTCCAGGACATGGATGAGGAAAGTTCTGATGAGGACAACGGGCCAGAATCCGAGCAATTGCCTATGCAGCCACCACTTCCTCCTATTCCCGATAAAGTCCTTGTTAAGAAATACGACCCGAAACAAGGTAGGGCGTTCTTTGACCAAAAACCCTTAAAGTCTAATATTCAATTCTTCAGCTCCAAAAGTAACCAGACCCACAGTGGGAGATGACTACTTAGTGTCCCCAATTACTGGCGAGAAAATTCCGGCCAGCAAAGTCCAGGAGCATATGAGAATCGGTTTACTTGATCCCAGATGGGTTGAGCAGAGAGACAAGCACGTTTCCGATAAGGTTTGTAAATAATCAGTACATTATTTTGAAGCATCTATTTATTCATGCCGATTTCAGATGAATCAAGACACTGTCTACGCTCAAGGCACTGCTATTGAAGCAAGTTTGAAACTTTTGGCAGAACGTCGTACTGATATCTTCGGTGTGGGAGATGAAGAAACTGCCATTGGTAAGAAGATAGGCGAAGAAGAAACGAAAAAAGATGAGAAAGTGACTTGGGATGGTCATACATCGAGTGTGGAAGCGGCGACAAGGGCTGCAAGAGCGAATATCACTCTTGAGGAGCAAATTCATCAAATCCATAAGGTAAAGGATAATATGCTATTTTCTGGATATTGACTATTGATATTTACGCAGGTTAAAGGATTACTTCCTGATGAGGAGAAAGAGAAAATCGGGCCTAAGAATGTGCAAGGAGCTACCAAACTAAAACAAACATCTGCTCCAGTTATTAAGCAGCAACCCTCGATACAAGTGGTAAGTGAATGTTTCTAAAGAGTTCTAAATTAAAATATTGTCAATTTCAGCCTGCAAAGCCGTCAGTCATCACAACTTCAGCTCCTCCTCAAATAACTATTCCCGTGCCACCTCAACCGCAGATTTTAACCGCGCAGCCTTCAATCATGATGATGCCTGCCCCTCCAATGGCTCCTATGCGTCCTTCTTTAATGAGTAAGTGATTTATACAATATGAGAGTTTACCTAACGTGAAAATTTTAGTGCCTGCACACCCTTCGATGCCAGGCTTTGTCACTCCCATGCCGGCGCCTCCAATGGGAGGACCTCCAATGAACATGGCGGTAAAGCATCCCAACGACGGCCCGATTGAGGAGGAACCGTCTAATAAGAAACTGCGCAATGAAGACTCGTTAATTCCTGAAGAAGTTTTCTTGGCTCGAAACCCTGTAAGTACTTGTTTTGTCTGGAAGCTGAATGAAAAGCCTTGATATATTGAATTTTGATTGGTTTAGAGCCCTGTAAGCATTAAGGTGACCATTCCTATGATGCCGGAGAAATCTGAATGGAAGCTGAACGGCCAAGTGCTGGGATTCACGCTGCCCTTAGCGGACAATGTGGCTAATCTGAAAACGAAAATTCAGGAGGAACTCAACATGCCACCGGCCAAACAGAAGCTCTTCTTTGATGTAAGTGATGGTCTGCATAAAAAAGAAACTATAACTAAGTGACTGGTTGGGTTTTCAGGGCATGTTCTTCAAAGACCAAAACTCTCTGGGCTACTACAACATTACCCAGGGCGCCGTTATTCAATTGCAAGTCAAGGAAAGAGGCGGCAGAAAGAAATAGGTCTCGCGACATTTAACGTATATGCATGTTGAAGCAAGTTCTTCAGCGTTTTTATTTGAAGGGTAACATTCAAGTAGAGGATTTAATTCGAACATACAATACATTGACAACACGCTTTACCTAGTTTCTTTGAATAGTATCACCTGGGACAACAATCTACGTAAATACAAATCCGTACTTTACACGAGTAAAGTACTTAGATATCACTATTTCCTTGGCTATGGAATGAGTCATGGTTAACAGGAACATCCACGTAAGTAAATTGTTTAATTTTCCTGGTCAAAGATGGGACGTACCTTCTGCTCCTGTAACAGTTCTTTGACGATTTGTCGGTACCGTCGCACCATCGGTGCGTATATTTCTTCAGCATCCAGGTATGGGTCGCACACCTTTTGAGGTTCTGGCAGCACTGCAATGATATCGCGGTAATCCTTTCCCAATAGTCCGGTTTTTGCTTGATAGGCCGATCCTAACATGGCCGAGTTAGCTGCTTCCTGTTATCAGGAAAATATCACTATTGCAGTTAACTAAAGATGATGATGGTTTACCTGTACATAGACGGGGGAGTTGAAAACATCTGCTAAAACCTGTAAAATTGACCTGTTGTGAGATGCGCCTCCTGTCGCTAGTATTTTCGCCCCATTTCCTGCAGATTTATGGCCATTTACAAAATTGTTTTAATTTTCCTTGAATAATTCATACCAATATGAAATCCAAAGTCTTCAGCATACGACCGCATAGCTATGAATTGGCCTTCGATGCAAGCCCGCACCTCCACCTCCAAGCTGGTGAATTTCTGCACTCTTTGGCTTTTATTGAATCTGAAGTCCCCTTTGAGGAACGGCAGGATTTCGTGGACATCGTAATATAATCCTGCAAGGGACGCAAGTTTAGCTCGCTAACTAACAGAAGGCTGGTAAGTTTGTACTTACCCATATTCCCAAAATTGCCCCTGGGCGTGCTCTCCAGCAATTGATTGAAAATATCCCAGGATTTATCGGCGCAACTGTTCCGTATCCTCTCCCTGGTAAGAGACCCGTTTTTGAAGCAGAGCAGCCCCAAGAAAGCCTCGCGATCCACCGGGTTGCAAAGCACGTGCCCGTCCAACACCAACTTGGGTTCCATCAGCCACAAGAAAGCGGTATCGCTGGTTCCAAGACTCACTGCCAAACAATCCTCGCGCAGCCTCATCCCTTTTAATTAAATTCAAATTTGCATTCTCCTGCTCATTGAGCTTGGTGGGGCGACTACCTATTAAAGAAGCGGGGTTATCCCCTGTGCAGGCCACCACTCGGCAATCAGGCGAAAAGTGATAACGTTCCACAAAGTACCGGGAAATCGGCCCCAAATTCGTGTTGGATGCAACAGGTTCGCCGAGTTTTTCTCGCAAGTTTGCTGCGCAAGCATCCAGCAGCGGCTGGTGCCAAGTTTTCGTTCTGATGTCCAACAGATGCATGCCTGATCCATCTGAGATATCATTGGGCGCTATTTCGCCCAGCAATAGACTGCAGACGAAACTACTGATGAGCGAGATTCTCTGAAAGGCATCCAGTGAATGAGTTGTTGAAATTGAATGGCTGTTTTTTCTAACAAAAGTTGTTTGACTAGTTTTTTTATACCTCTGTGCTTTTATACGCTTCTGGTCTCATTTGGAAAATTTTTGCAATCTGCGGTCCAGTGAATCGTTCATACGCCCTGGATCCAGTGATTTTGGCCAGTTCCTGGCAAAGAAAAATTGCAAATTTTCAGCGAAACTTAATTAGTTGTGATGTTCATACCTCGGGTCCGCCAACGGCCTGTTCCAGCTCTTTGCATTGTTTCGTGGTGCTGGAGTCTTTCCAAATAGGGCTGTTTGTTATGGAGAAACTGTGCGATAATTGCTCGTGCAAAAACTGGCTTGGATCTAAGGTTTTCAGAGTGTCATTTGCGCCTTTTTGCCAATACACCGAGCCATGTTGCTGAAAATCAATGTTTCATTTTGCGCTATAATTGAGTGACATTAAAACAGTTATTTAACTACTAAAAAGCTGGATATTATGCAATTTGGCTCCTACCTGTGCTGTTCCACTCACAGCGGCTATTTGAGCAAGATCAGCTCCCGCCACTACTAATCGGTCCATTAGAATGTCGAAAGCTTTCACCCACATTAGAACTGGAGCTGCAATCGCGGAAAAAAATTGATTTGATGAAAACTAGCGAAATTTGAAGAAAGCTATATTTCCCGCTTACCTGTAATGCAATGAGGATCATATTTGTCGATCATGGCACCGCCTTGGGTGCGAAATTCTGGTAAATCTGTGTCGAACACAACGGAAACCTGCAGCACAGTTTCCAGATTTTCATTGACAATGCCGGCTTTCAGCTGAAACAATTAGAAATAATTTTATTTAACTTTCATGGTAGTGACGTGACATTGTTTTGCTAGTTAGTTATCGCCGCTTAAGTGCTAAAAATAGTGGCTTGCTTAATTAAAATGTTTATTTCATATAATATATAGATAGATAAGCGTTCTGATTTAATGCTAAAGGAAACTGCTTAGAAAAATGCCTCATTCCTAGCAACTTTTTCTTCGATTTGTCACCTTTGGTGACCTGTTTCCTGAAGAATGCCTTTCACGATAATGAAATTCAAACCTTTAATAGAGCAAAAATGTGCTGTTATCACGCCACATTATATTATTGATCAACATACGGCGCACTTTTACTCCGCTACGGGTACCGAAATAACGCCGCAACAGTAAAAAATTCTGCCCTTTTGCGCCTTAAGGCTTATCAAAGCAGGGCGCGATAAAAGCGCAATCTTATCTGCGACAACTATTTTAACCATTAATCAAATAATCTTCCCAGATGATTAATTCCATTTGGCAAACATACCTGTTGCGTGCTTAAGTCCAGGCCCAAATACTGCCTGTTTTCTGTCATGATCGGACCAATCAGCCACTAGTTGGAGCAAATAGCTGCTATTTTTAACGCTGAACAACCAATAGGTTGAATCGATAGAATAAAAGCTGCCGATTGCAGGCCACCTCGATGTGCTTTAAAACACACCGTATTTGTAAGAAAACAGTACAATAACTAAACGCGTCCTACTCGCTGACTAATCCGCTATGGAGAAACATGAAGCGGTAGATTTCACTTCATTTTTTGAACGGGGGAACCGCAAGATTCAGCGATCTACAATCGCAAAGGTTACGTTAGGTCAAGGAGTGTTGTTGTTGTAACCAGTTTATTAATCTAATTATGTTAATGTGAGCGAACGATAAATTACGTTTGTCTTAAATGTGTTCGCACTGATTAAATGCTGTGAGCCACTGCCTGACCGGAGATTTTGAGACTCTCAACCACTGGAAGTGTATGGCCGATTACATAAGAAACACATACAGTGGCTAGGAGTTGTAAATCTACTGGCCAAGTATTGATATGCGAATTCTGTCTAGAAGTGGTATATCCGTCGGTTGGGCCAAAAGGTTTGACCTGATTTGGTATTTGATTGAGGCCACGAGCTGATTACATATGTAATTTGCAATTCACTAAATTTTAATGTTGGGTTCTGGACGTTATGGCGGATGTGCCGCATGGGTTTAGGCAAGTTTTATCAGGGGAACGTCGTTTTTTATTAATGTTCTTACTTGAAGGTCTTGAGGGATTGCAGGAGGGACTAAAATTCTTTTATGCACTTAAACTACCTTTCTTGACACACTAACGAAGAAATTTCTAGTAACATTACAAGACATTAGTCCCAATTTGATTTTGAATGATTAGCACCCAAGATTGTACAGGACGACTGACCACCAAACAAGAGTAGCCAAATGCTCCATGAAAATCATTTTGCGATGCGATTGGGGAAAAACATGTTTTTTATCGCCACACAGACGCCTCTAATAATCTCCCCTTTCTGTATATATCCAATTAAATCGGTTTTATCTGGATGAAATGAAAATATTCGACAAACATCCATAGCTGCCAAAGACGTCGCGACGGACCCGGTCTGGGCGTCAGGACGCCCCACTTGCGGCGCCACCGATTTTGTTATTCCGGCGTCATATTCCCCCTGGTACACATGGCAGTTAATACTTAAGGAAATTGCATATTGTTCACATGACTGGTATTATTATCTAATATATCGTTGGCCTTTGCCAGCAGAATTTGCAACTGTCCAAGCCAAACGACACAAATGCGGGTTGGAATCAGCTCAACCCTATCGAAGACACAGGTAAGAAACTAGGCACTGTTCCGACCAACATTGTGCATGTTCATGGCACAGTTCGATGGAAAATTGCAAAAACTGTGGCGGCAAACAAGTCCGAAGAACCATATAAAATCCACTGCTAGCGGCGTTTCAAAGAACAATAAAAATGAACGAAAATAAACGAGTATAAGTAATGGGGCGACCAGAACTTACATATTTGTTGTGACAAACAAAGCCCCATAAAGAGGCCAGCAGAGGTGCATCGGCGTCCCCTTCGGCGTCGCTTTTTTCGGACAGCGGCGTCTTTGGGGATGCCGGGCGTCGCGCCAACCGCGGGCGCCCCTCCGAACGCCGCGGCACAAAGACTCGACTCTTCGACGACGGCCTCGATGGTCCTTCTTCAGTGTGCGGAATGATGATTTATACCGGGGGTGTTGGATGAGCCCCTTTTTTCCATCACAATTTTTAAAGGCCTATAATACGTCTTTAGAAGCAGCTTTTGCACCTTCCAGCTTCTAAAAAAAAATCAATTCAGTTTTATATTTACTGAATTTGCTCAGATGAGATGGATCATCTAGCGAGTAGGTACTTGATTAAAACTGATGCATGAGTTATGTTTCAAGCACCAGTCGCAAAATCTCTCACTTTTGATACGCAAGAGTGTTTCATAATAATGCGTAAGTGTTTAAGGAGTGTGTTTATACCGGCTCTTCTGAGTTCCTAGCAGGAATAGTCGATCGTTTAAATGGAGAAAAACAGTTTGTTTTCGGTCAACATTCAAATTTACACACCGGAATTCTACAATCTGTTAAAATCTAGTAGTATTTTGAGATCTTTGTTCGGCTCAAGCGTTGGAAAATATCAAAGTCTCTCAGAACTTTTGGCAGCAAAATACTTTTTTCGTGTTTTCAAAATAATTAAACTCCTTGAATCCACAATTACTACAT